AAGAAAATATAAATAATAGATTAATTCTAAAATATAGCATTCATATTCTTAAATTTCTTAGATAATTATTAATAGATATTTTTGCATTTTATGAAATATTCATATCAATATCTATCTAAATTTCTGAATTTGAATTCATTCAAAAACTATATTATATAATTCTCATAATATCTATCGAAATTGAATCATAAAATAATAATAGAAAAATTCGATTTATTAAATATATCATAAAATCGAAGTTCTTATATTTCAAAATAGTTCAAAAATAGAAATAGAATTTATTTCATTAATATTTTTAATATTTTATTTATTTCAATAATTATTCAATAAAATCATTGGCTTTCTACCTATATAGATATCTTATGGTACCTCCATTTGCTTCGAGCCCGCGGAGCCAAATGCACACTTCGAATCGATAGTTATGATGATTATTGACAGGTTTTCGAATTGCTATAGGGAATTCATATCTTGTCGAATTTCAAAATTTCTGTTAGATCCGGAGATCTGTTGAAATGCACATCAATATGAACCAAGCATCAGAATGTACAGTTCACATTGATTACCAGAATATCAGATCAACATGAAGACATATCTAGAGATATATATTATAATTGAACCTGCATTTGGTCTTTCTGAAATAATGGCAAACATAGTTGCAGAATCGCACTATCAAGCGCGGAAAATTAAGAGTGCATGTCTCCCGTCTGTCCAACTCCTGCATCGAGCCGACAGGAGGGCACGAAACATAAATCACCCCTGTGACAACAGAGACGAAGATCCACCATGTCTGATCTATCGAGTCTGTCCGATGCATTTCCCAAAAGCCGGCACTGAAATGTACCCACTACAACGTCATTCGCTCCGTGGATGCAGCAGCTTGCAGGGAGAACTAATAGCATATGTGGGAATCTCTTGTAGATTCAGTACAGGCCACATAGCTCTTTCGAACATGAGGGCCTCCTCCGTAGTTTGCGACAACAGTCGCTTGTCTTGCACAAGGTACGGCTGAAACTTTCCGATGGCTTCTCTCACAGGTTGAGACCGTGACTTCTGAAGGCGATCTGAAAGCATCCATCGGCTCCAGTTTTAAGCTGGATTGATTGGTTTCGACTGTGGCACTCTTACAAATTGCAGGCTGGGAAAAATTCGAGAATCTAGAACGACTGTATATAACAACGGCCAGGACGCGGGTGGCTCGACGAGTTGCTCTCGAGTGGTTCTCGTTCGCAGTCTCGCCCCCGTTTCCAATGCTGCGGTGACTCGTGCGGCTCTGTTCCTCCTTCCTGTAGCTTGCGGGCGCTCGTGGGCCATGCATAGCTCGCAGACTGCTTTTGGCTCGTGCCCGGCAGGCTCGTGTGCTACCCTACTTGCGGCCTGCATTGCTAAGGTGCGAAACTCTACTGTGGTGGTGGTGAGCAGTAGAACTAAAGAAATTGAGTCTTGCTTCTTCGCACCAGGGAACCTACGTTAGACTGTGCAAGCTTGCCCTAGTGTGCTCTCCCGCAGAGCTCTGCCATCGATCATTCGTTCAGCCGTTCCATATGTTCGTGTGCGACAGCGAGCTGTAATGTCCTCTAAGAGTGTGTTGGCTACAGGCACTCGCCATGCCTTGGTGAGGATGTCTCCCAGGAGCAGGGGCCTAGAAACCGTGTAGCAGTTTCAGATGACAAAACGAAGCCTGACTATACAGCCTGGGGCCTACGATCCGGGTAAAGCGCTGCAGCACAGGCTTTCATTTCAGAAACCTTAAGTCCATGGTGGTGATGGAGGCGTGACGAGGACCTACTTTGGTGTGTACCCGATGAGGAAAATTGCAGCAGTGAAAAGCCCAGCAATCACCAGAGATATCCCGAAGGTTTTGATGGCTTCGATCTGCTTCTTCTTGGCGAACTCCTTCCGGAAGATCGGACTACATCATGCTCTTTCATGCTCGGGTTGAAGTAGCGGGAAATGGCCGGTAACTCATAATGAGCGGGCTGCCCCCGCGGACAAGCCTGTCAACGGCTAAACCACTAATCTTACGGTCTCGCAAACCTCGGATGTCGGGTCCACAGGAAGTTGACATCTTCGGAAAAGCTTGGAAATTGAATGTGGTGAAGTCTGTTCTTGCATAGGAAAAACGGGGGCCAGTCGTCGTGATGCACTGCTTCTTGTCAGACAAGCTGCAGCAGTGTTGCAAAACACTATTCCCGATGCAGAATCTGCAAACCAACCTGAGAATTCAAAGACCACTTGCTAGGATGCTCAACATGGCGCCAACCTAAGCTGAGAGGCCTCGAAACATCATTCCATTGCAACTAACCAGCAACAGTCCATCTGCGTAAGGGGCATCCCAAGCTACATGTGAATTCAACACGTCGCCTCAATTCCAGAAAGGGTCCGGTCCGGCGGCCTGATATTGCTGTGGCACGCGCTGCATGCTGAAGAGTCCACCCACCTTATCTGACACTGACTACCTCTCGTTTCGCGTCTGTGATATACTAAACCAAAACTTAAAAACTGCAATGAGCAATCAGTAAAGCTGCGCTCCAGCGCCCGATCATGTTGGAGGCTGGCGGCACGGGGAGAGTTCAAGGCAAGCCGTACCACATCAGACACTGCAAACCTTAAGTGGCTTCTGACTTCAGGTTCAAGTGCACTTTCACAAAGTTGTTGCCGGCCTGCCTCATTCGGATCGGATGCTGGAGGCATAGAGATAGACGGCTCCCCAAGTGAAGCCGAAAATGCCCCATGCACCTGAGATGTGTGCGGGTCAGGCATAAGAACCCGCTGGAAGCTGCACCGGCAGGACTGGTTGCTGCGACTCCGAGTGCGCGACTCGCCGTTCGAAGTGCGAGCTGGAGCACCAAGACAGCCTTGAATCGCAATCGCCACGTTCTCGGTCTTGACAATTCGCTGCTGCTACTGCTGCATTCTGAAACTCGCACAATGCTGCTCTTGATATTTGTGGGACAGAATTGTCCTGCCAGCGCCCCCAAACGTGTGAGGGCTGAGGCCACTCACAGCTTCTTGACGTTTTTATTTGGCAGTCCGGATTCAGGGTTTGTTGTTCGCTAGCTGCTAGCTGCGCTAGCTGCACCTTTCACTTTAAAAAAGTTGGCTTGCAGAGTCGTAGGCTGCGTTGTTGTTGGCATCAGATGTGGAGAAATCAAAAGGTCTAGGCACTGTGAGCCGAGTTGAAAAGTGCGGGCAACCAGTCCGAAAACTCCAAGGCTGAAATTTACTGCTGAGATAGAGAGAAAAAGAGAGAGAGAGAGAGAGAGACACAAGCCGAACTGCATGAGCCCAAGCTCGGATTCACAGGGTCATCGATCAAGCCTCCCAAACCCTTAAGACCCTGCAACCCTCCCTTGATGCCGAGCCCGGAGCGGTGAGCACAGCAGCAGTGACAAGTCGGACAGTCGACTCTGTCCTCGGCCGAGAATTCGAGCCCTTAATTCAGGGCCCGTTTTTTAAGCACGGACTTGCAGTGTCAGGGCCCTTTTGCAACAGGCTCAGTGTCAGGGCCCTGAACCCGAAACGCTTGTGAAGGAATCGAAACTAAAGCATGTCGGATGCTCTGCCCTTTGGATCTTCAGAAGAATACCGTCACTCTTGCAAAAGCCACAAGACAAGGCACCCTAATTCAGAGAGTCTTCTCCTTTTCAGGAGAGTCCGGGGGCTCCTCAAGCTGGAAAATCACGGTTTAGGGTTTAGGCCGAGGCTCTTTGTGATGCTGCGATTCTCTCGGATGGCTTGCTCTGGTTCTGGCATCCTCGTTCGGAGCACATGTATGGAGGTCGTGCTAAAGGTCCTGGGGGATTGAATTGGGGAATACTCTGCTTACAAGGAGATCCTAAGGCTCCTAAGGAAAATGGGAAGCTACATTATTGCTGTTTCGGGGACAAATACTTAAGGTGGGCAAGCTGCAGGCCTGGGGGTCACAGACCTTCGAGCTACAGAGATCTGCTTGACAAGTGACGTCGACGTGAATGCATCTTTGGTCTTTCCGGTAGGCTTCTTGGAAATATCTCCATCCTGCTTGTACACTAAATTCTAAAAAATGCTCAACTTAGGGACCCTCTGTTCAACCCGACAGGGCCTTAACGAACCCTAAACCCTAAACCCTAAACCACCGCAGCCCTGAACCAAAAGCACCTGCAGGCTTCATCGCTGAGGTGTCGGCTCTTCGAATGCACCCGAAGCCATGCCAATCGGCCCCAAGGAAATACAAAAGGGGCGTCTTCTTGGGTTGAAGGTGTACATGTCGATATGCTATTGGTCTAAACCTCCTGTCCTAGCACAAGCCAGAAGACCACGATGCGTCTAAACCCTATTATGGAGGTGAAAGAAGTGAAGCGCCCTTCAAGACTAGGTGACGGTGCAGCGCTTCGACTCTTTGAATTTTTTGAAAGCGCCACTGAGTTCACATCAGGTTCTGCGCAAAGCTTGAAGCTCACACCAGCGAGCCACTCGCACATCAATGTGGTGGTGCTGACCTGTGCAAATGCCACTTAAAGGTTTTGGCAGCTACAGGCTTGACTGCTTGACAAGGGGCAACCACTGAAACATGAAGTCTGCATGCTTGGCTTCTTCCTGACTCTAAGGTGGGTTCAGGGCTTGCATTGTAGGATGTTTGGCAGGTTTTGAGTTAAGTGCTTGAACCGAAGCCGCGACTGTCCTTTTTCGTCTGATACACGATCGGATCTTCTGGTCGGGGTCTGGCACAGCTGCGATCGTCTCCGCAGCAGATTTCCCACCTCCCGCAGGCTCAGGGCCATATCGGCTTAAGGTTTAGGGTTTAGGGTTTAGGGTTCTGCTTGCATGGACCCCCGGCCACACTACGAAAACCTCATATTCCAAAACCCAAAACTCCTACAGCCCAAATCCATGCATCCAAGACCCCAACACCCACAACAATCCGACACCCCCAAACCCCAATCAACAACCCTAACTCGCAAAGTACTGAATGCGACAAAGCCAAAACCCTTTGCAGTCTAGAAATCGTCTTGAGAGCTGCCTCATCGTCTTCGGTCTCTCTCCGGCTTTGAGCGTTTCACTCGCTTCCCTTTTCCTGCACACTGCGATAGACTGACATGGGCTGCGAGGTCAACAGGACTTTTAGCTTGGTGCTTCGAGGTTTACTTCAGGCAGACCCCTGTTTAATCTAGCCCTGGTATAAGGACCCTTAGATTTGCCGCAGACGGTGTTGTCCTAGACGATCTGAAAGCATTTGTCGGCCGGCAATCAAAAGGTCTTTGTGGCTTCGGAGCTAGGTTCGGATTCAGAATATGGGAGCTTCCGAAAACAGGGGGGTACCTTATTTTGGGGTCCTTATAATAAGGATCCTACTATTTAGGGTGCTATATTGGGGTCCACTTTTTTCAGAAACCCCCATATAGGGCGGACTTATAAAGGCTTGCAACTTAAGGCTAGGGTTGTCTCCGGGTAAAGACTTCTCGGGACTCGCTGCTTGATCCGGAGAATGTCCACCTTCGCAGCATGCTAAATTTAGTTACAAGCAAGTCCCAAACAAACCGAATCCTGAACCAGCTTCTGACTGTTGCACAGCAAATACAGTTGAGGTGGGTGTCACGGCACAAACTAGTTATCGTTTTATCCATCATCCATTTGATCGCATGTCTGCTTGCAGTTGTGCGAGTTATACACACTTCTGTTTCCACGCAGGCAGTCAAAAGAGCCGACTTCATCTTTCTGTGAAGAAAAGGCACAATCAATAGGCACGGCAAGACCGCGCTCTCCTCCCGAGTTGCTTCCCGGATGCGCGAAGTAGCAGTGAGGGCGCGTGCAGTCCTTCACTGTGGCTGCATATGCATCTCGAATATGCGCGCTGTCTCTGTGTCTCTGAAAAAACCACGCAAGCCACAGAATTAATACGCCAAGAAGCGTTGCCATCGCGGCATGCGGTTGTTTCCACCCGGCGCATTATTTTGTCCTAGCTTGTGCACACGAGCTGTGAAGCTTTCACTTGCGCAAGGAGAACTCTAGGAGACATCGATGAATGCATTTCTCAGAGTCCGAACCTCTGAAATTTCGCTCCATACCTTTACCACTCTCTTCGTTCGCTTCGCCGAGTAGCCGCGTCTTCTTTGGGCGGATGTCGCAAGGGGCACTCATCTCCCGAGGCACATTTCCCACGTGCGCAGTACTGGAAGCATACCTGCGAAACTGCACAGCGGCTTGAAAACCTTGCCGCCCACATCAGAAGGTCCGTACTATACTCTGAGTTGAAGGGTCATAAGTTCTTCCCTGGCGATGCGCTTGGTACAGCCTTGTCTCGTGTCGCCTGCCGGGCCCGTCCTGCAACGAGCAAAAGCTTCAGGCATCAGAGTTGACTTGGGGCTTCTGCTGTTGTGGACTGCAACGTAGAGCGGCTCTTCTTTTACCATAGGTCATATTAAGGAAGGGATCCTAACCTCAAGGGCATGAAAACAAGCGGCTGAGCACTCAGGGGTCTACAAAAGGCCAGCCCCGAAAGCTTCTCGACCTTTGCTCTCACTGCTAGCTGAGCCCATCATGCAGCACTGAGACTGGTGTTCTTCTTGCATCACGGCAGTCAGCAGCCTGGGAGTCCCCAAAAAACCAAGCGAAGCCCTTCCTCCCTCCCGTGCACCTCGCTCCGGCAGGGGGGGTGGGGGCGGAAGCGATGCGCGGCTCCTGTGGCGATGTTTGCTCAACTCTGCCTGCATGAAGTGCTTCGGGGTAATGATCTGCAACGGTCTAGAGTTTAGGGCTTAGGATGGCTGAGGCACGACCACACTACATGAAGCTTGAAAGCGGCCTTGCATGGCGGGACGGAGCGGTCTGGTGTCGTGCCAACGGGCGGCGAGAGTCTGAACCTTGGAAGACAAATACCAGCTGGTGCTTTCTGTTCTTTTTGCTTGGACTGTGAGGGGCTTTCCCGTCCGTGTCAGTGGTGGGTTGGAGCTATGTCAACTGTAGGGGTGGGGATTGCGCCTCTCGTCGCCATGCCTCACAAGGCAGGTGCTGCGCACATGTCAAGTGGGACAACCAACGAGTTTCGCGAGTTTTTTCGTGCCGTGGTCAGCCTTTACCCAGCGGGGCCGGCCTTTCGCAAGTCCAGGTCCTTGTCTCGTTTTATGTTATCATACTCGGACTTGGCAAAACAGGGGTTTAGAGTGATCCGGTTTAGCCCAACGATCGAATCCATCTGCATCTGAGTACGAAAAAGATGTTTGCAGCAGCGGTGAGGCACCCAGCTGTGACCATGTTAACCTGTAGCCTGTTTTCATTTGTCTCCTTCGCAATGTGCACCTGCCTGACGTGCTGCAAAACTATCTGAACTTGCAAATCGTTGCCCAGTCTGCTCGAAAGCTGTCACATTGGCCCACAAACCACCTGTAACCCTGGCTTGCTTAACGCCTTTTCCTCGAAAGCCTGCGCCACTCGACAATCCTCTTGCGACGGGTTCGGGTTACTCCTGAGGGAATGTGTCCGTGCCATAGCAGAAGTTACCTTTGCCAAGCAGCGCTTTGTTACGTGGCGAGCGGAACTCTTTGGCTGTGGCTCGTGGTCGCCTGCCCAACATCCGGCAGCAAGGAGCACCCAGAGAGCCCAATACCCCTTAAACAAGGAACATACCCTAAATTATAGGGGCTCTCTGGGCAGTTCAATCTCCCTGGGGCCTGGGGATGTCTCGGCTTCCTTGCGCGGGCAGTTGATAAAACCGACGACAAGTCGCTAGGAGTCAGAATGATATAGTGTATCATAACATAACGTAATCAACAGTATAGTATGGTATAGCTAGCATATAACAAATAAATGAATACACGCACCCACATCTATCTATATATATATGTATATATAAATACGTGTATATACATGTGTACATGTATGTGTATACACAAAAACTATACATCGTCGGTCGCTTCGAAGTGCTTTGTGCTGGCCTTGGGATGGGGAGACGCTCCGGAGCCGCCCTTGGCCCCGCGTCAGCGGGCGACTGCGACTCCGCTCGCGAGGAGGCCTGGCCGAAAAGCTTCGGGTTCCCAGAGACTCCAATATCCCTTAATTAAGGAATATACCTTAAATCATATTAAGGATCCTACTATAATTTAAGGAATATTCCTTAATTAAGGAATATTGGAGTCTCTGGGTTTAGGGGCATAGGAGTTAAGCTGAGGGTTTGGGGTGTTTAGGATGCTGAATATAGAAGCCTAGATTTTTACAAAAATTAGCAATGATGTTCTTCCTTAGGCTTCCTTACTATAAGTAGACTTTAAAAAAACCCCCAAAGCCCCATGGACGTCGACTCACACCTTGGAGATTCAGCCATGGACGACGCATCATGACACTGTATCTCCCTTCATGGAAGAAGCTCGCAATGAGTACTTCGGCCAGGGGGCTTGACGTAGGGGCCTAAATCATTCCCAATACTATTTTGGTGGTTCCTTATTATAAATATAGTATAATGGGCCCCAAAACCCTATTCTAATTATTAAGGCCTCTATACTAGGGTGATTAGGGTCAGAGGGCCCTGGCAGCGCCCACCTCGGACTCGAAGAGGCTGCCGCTATTGGCTCCTCTTTGTTTGCGGCCTACCGCTGTGGATGTTGATGTTTCTGAACACCAGGGATCTACTCATAAGCTTGCTTTCATTTAAGTACATAGGGATTGCTGATTTTCTGAAGTTCAACCTAATAACGATCCTGATACTCGTCAGGTTGGGCCAATGCTTGAGAGCAGGGCGTGATGGAGGTTCGATGTCGAGGACCACGTTCAAGGGTGGCCAAGCTTGGTTTGCAAGCTGGTTGACACAGCAGCGCTTCTTCAGACCGCCTTTCTTCTGAGATTTGTCTGCCGAGTCCGGCCGCATTAGTCTAGGCCTACTACTGTTACTACGGTGGCAAAACACAGCGGCACCTTCCAGAAAAACTTCGAAGCTCTCTCTATCTTCATGCATCTTCATGCAGGCAACAACTATTTGGACCAGCAACGTGCACACAAGTCTACAACATGTTTGTTCATAATATACATGACAGGTATCATAACCCGACTCTTGATGGCATAACTTTCATCGCCACATGACAGCCCTCATGTTGTTGACAAGTGATCAAGCATACGGACCGGCATCGGTCACAACAGCTACGAGTAGTGTTGATAATCAGGGCAACCATGGCGATACTGATAATCACACTCCGCTCAGATTTGGTTTCCGCTGTCTTCCGATCCAATTGGCATGGTCCATCGTCAGTAGCAGCAAGCATCAGTCCCAAATCTTGAAACTGACTCCCTAGAAACACTCCATGCAGAGTAGCTGAGTAGCTGTGTCCTCCGTCACCTTCGCCTCCTTGGGGGAGATGGGACGCTTGGGAACTGTCGAGATGGATTCTCCGTTCCAACCAAGGTATCGCGGATAAAGCCACCCGTGCTCGGACCGACCAAACGGGGCTCTTAGTCTGCATCAGTCGACAGTAAACCGCATCAGACCAAAACCCAGCGCTGTCAATACATACAGGGTGCCGTTTGGTTTCTTACGCCCGAGACCCTAAGCCGCAAGATCTAGCATTTTGTCGCGGACGTATCTGAAGGATGAGTCTGGATAAGTGCTTGTGGAGTCTTGAACATCGTATTGCACAGATGGAGGAAGTTATCATAAGAAGAACCCCAAAACGGGATCCGGTAACCCCCCATTTACCGCAGCAAGACTTGGCAGCTGGGACCGGCTTCGATAGAATCCACGCCGCAGCTGCATGATGGGACTTACGACTTTCTTGAAGTAGGAACCCCTATTTCATCTCAAGTTTTAAGGGTTTATATGAGGGTTTCTCGTTTTTCTGGAACCTTTCATGTCTGGAGCAACTCAATGAGACCCTTGTAGACATGCCTTGGGCTGGCGCTGGTGGCTCCTGCATCTCCTCCTCCTCTTCTTCATCCTCGGCGTCGTCGTCGCTGGCCTCCTGGGAGCAGGACGGAACCCAGAGACTCCAACATTCCTTAATTAAGGAATATTCCTTAAGTCATAGTAGGATCCTTATTATGATTTAAGGTATATTCCTTAAATAAAAGGATATTCGAGTCTCTGGGAAACGAAGGCCTCGTGGTAAAGTTCGAGATCTGGTCGTGGAGAGAAACCAAGGCTCCGCCAAGCCTTCTGGCTGGACACCCTGAACACTAAACCCTAAACCCTAAAACCCTAAAATGCTAAACCCTAAACCCTAAACCCTAAAACCCTAAACCCTAAACCCTAAAACCCTAAAACGCTAAACCCTAAACCCCCGGTCCTCGGCTTTGGGCGGCACAGTGAAGGAGGATGGGCTTGAACTGCGCGATGAAGAGCAAGCTTCCTCTCGCACAAGACTGCGGACTCGCGCTCGCCGATTGCAATTCTGCGGTCTCTCAGCGACATTCAGGTGTATGCGGGGACCCCTCAGCGGCTGAGTCATGTGCCTGCAGATTCGACTGCAAGTTCCAGAGCCACGGAAAAACCAACCAAACCACAGGGAGGAAACAAACCGGACTTTTTCCAACAAGCTTTTGAACAAGCCCTCTGAGTCTGCGTGACGGAAAGAAACACAGCAAAGGGCTCCAAAGCTCAAAGAGATTCTTCAGCCCCGGATGCCACTTGCCTTGGTTGCTCCCGGAGCACCCGCGGCCGATACCTGCAAGGGTTAGGGAGCCGGAAACGCCGGGCCTGAAACGTAAGAAAAAGGCTTTCAGGACATACCATAGTACTATAATTCAGGGACTATAAGGTGGTTTATTACTAAGATACCATAGTACTATTATTCAGGGACTATTCGGTGGTTTATTACTAAGGGCTCAGATCTCCAAATTGAACCCCGCCCCATGTTGCCTCCGCCGACGCCACCGGTGCTACGGAGTCCTGCGCCGCATCTTTCCTGGGAGCTGCAACTTTTCAAGACAGCATTCCCAGAGACTCCAATATCCCTTAATTAAGGAATATACCTTAAACCATTAAGGATCCTACTATAATTCAAGGTATATTCCTTGATTAAGGAATATTGGAGTCTCTGGGTTTTCTGGGCTTTGCTTAACCGAATTTAATCCAAACTTACCACATAGTACGGAAGCAAACTAGTTTGTGTTAGCAACAATATGTACATGAAGATTTTGGTGATCTGCGGTAAGGTCCGGAGGGAAGTCCACAGGAGCCCTTCTCCAATCATCGAGCCGGTGCACCGCGTCCGACTCAGCTTGATCTGCAGAAGCTGCTGCCGAAGCCCTGGGGGCGCATTAGGGTTCAGGGATGTTTAGGGCCCTGCTATGGGGAGGCTGTTCGGATTTCGTGCCTAGACTGCCAGTTGCACGCATGGCTTGCAGCCATTGCACGGCACTAATGAAACCGCAAAGCGAAGGCCAAAGTGGACCACAGTCCAATAGCAGGTGCAAGCAGGTGCACGGCCTGTGATCTCGTCTTCAAGCTGCCGAACTTGCTCTGAGAGGTTCCTGGCAACGTGTGGCTTGCGCCGGGAGCAGGGCGACCGCTGTCTGACTGCGAGAGACTGCTCGAAGACACCTCATTTTGCTTCATTCCGCGCCTGTTTTCGTCTGTCATCGTCTGCAGTTTGGCGTCCTGTCAGTGTTTGCCACAGCAGCAACATGTCACATTGGACGTGGTGGAAGCTTACCCACGCAACTCCTGTGCCCAAACGGCACTTCCAAAAGGGTTTTCTGGGGGCAGTCTCCTTTTCTTCGCCATCTCGCTGATGCTGCGAAACCTGCAGCGGGTCTGCGGGTCCAGCCAAATCAAGCATCTTAGACGAAACACAGTGTGTGTGTGTGTGTGCGTGCGCGCGTGTGTGTGTGTGTGTGTGAAAGCTGTGCACATATGAATTTCCCCCCTGCAGCTTTCCTTCCAAAAGCCTTTCGACCCTACCCCGTGGACCGAAGCAAAGCAGCACAACCTCAGCCCCAGGACCCACACCTCTGCAGACAGCCTCAGGCACAGTGGGAAGGTGTTGTCGCTTTGCTGTTGGCCCTTGCTGCTGGGTGAGTTCATCTTGGCAAGCAGTTTCTAAAGCTTTAAGCTTGAGGGATACTGAGGGTTTCGGCTCTGATTGTGTAGATCGTGCTTCGTGACTTGCCTTTCGTCAGCAGCTAAACCATGCTGCCAATGCAAAAGGGGAGGCTACCCGATAGCTTACATCTCGCGGAACGGCTTTAAGCTGCCTTGCTGGATTGTCCTACAATCCTAAAACCGTTTGGGATCTTCCGAAAATCGGGGTACCTTATTTTGGGGTCCTTATAATAAGGATCCTACTATTTAGGGTACTATATTAGGGTCCCCTATTTTCGGAACCCCCAAATCCTAAATAGTAGGATCCTTATTATAAGGCCCCCAAAATAAGGTACCCCTAATTTTCGGAAACCCCCATTTCTGTCCCTCCACAGCCAGCAAAAAATTATCGAACGCGCGCATGCAGCTCAGTTGCTGGTCCAACTGCGCCTGGCAAGCGGCACTTGGAGGCCAGGGGACTTAGTAAGTCGGTTATAAGTAGAGTTATAATTGGGGTATCTCCATTTAGTGGACTTATAACTCTACTTATAACCTACTTACTAAGTCCCCTGAACCTCCAAGCGCGGATGTCCTACAACTTTGTGAGGACTCTCTGGGGCTTCCCCGGTCACTGCATGCAATTATACTATATACACCACCCCAGCAAAGAGGAGCGTAGGAGTAGCAGTCGTCGGGGTGGAGGTGTGGTGGCAGGTCGCACCCGAAATAACAATACTGCTACGTCAACTACCGGCAGCGACAGCAAAATGTTCTTGATCACGGTGCTAGACTGAAACGGCACTAGTAAGTGGAAATAAACGAGTCAGAAAATAACAACTGTTAGACACGGTTGAAGATATAACCGATACCAGTGAAGCAGCACGTGTCAATAACAAGCACCAGCATGAAAGCTTTGTATCGTCAGTGGCATGCTACTCATGCTCGGCCTTCTGCGCAGAGGAGTAGAGCTCGGCTTGCGTGATCTTGTCCTCACAGCCAACCATTATCAACCATTGATTGATCGAGGCCCCCCCGAACTAAAAAGCCAATCCCACGCACAAAGAAACGAGTTCGGGACCTCGCTCACCTGAGCCGCCGACGCAAGTACCTGCAAAGCGCAAGCTGTAACAGGAAGATGTTGCGAGTACGCCGCAAGCACTGACAGGAGTCAGGTTTAGAGCGTCCCATGTGGTACCCCACAACATGGGCTTTCGCAGATGGGTGGCCTCCTGTTCATCCTGAACTGCCTCGGTCAACGGCTCATGTACTGCTTGTGACAACCCAGAGACTCCAATATCCCTTAATTAAGGAATATACCTTAAATCATATTAAGGATCCTACTATAATTTAAGGAATATTCCTTAATTAAGGAATATTGGAGTCTCTGGGTCCTTTCTGCAAGAGACCATGCCAAGCCAATGCTGGACGAAAGGGGTCTCGCCTGTCATGCCTAGTTTGTACACCACATACTTAAGAGTTTGGGGGTTCTGATGATATATCTTCCAGCATCAGTAAGACTGAGATTGGGACCCGGATGATTCTCTCGAAGACCTGAGGCCAAACGACCGTTGCCCAACACTGTAAAACCCAAACCAGTCTCGGATCTTGCTACGGGCATTGAAAAGCGTGGGTTTCGTGTGTTTCCTGGCCCTGAAGTGGCACCCCCTGCTCTGTGTCATCCTTGCAATGGACCTTTGTCGAGAATGCAGTCTTGCAAGCAAGTCGCTTTGCCCACTTCCGTGGAGAGTTGCATCCGGCAGAGAGCACTTAAAGCAGGACCGGCGAGCGGATCCTACTTCCAAGGCTGCAACCCTTGTGGCCTTCGTACATGTGTACTTCTACGCATGAACAAAGATATCAGCATGGACATTGCTGTAGATATTGAAAGCATGAGCCAAAGAGCCGGTACTGTCGACCTGGGCTGGAGGCTGCGGTCCCTGCGAACCTGCTCTTAGCACTAAAGCACGCATCTTCGTAATCTGTTGCAGCGGGTACGTTTGAACACTTTGTGGCTAACAGTGCAGCATTCTTGTTTTCACTCCGGAGCCCGTTTGATGTCAGACGGGGGAGCCGCGAGCAGACTCATGAATTAAAAACTGGACACCTCTAGCCAAGGATATGGCCCCACTTTCTCAGATCCGCATCTAGCTTTGTTCCCGCCGCCTTCAGCTGGTTAACCTGCTCTTGGGGAATATGAAGAGAAGATGGCGGCGGACGGGGCAACCCAGGCGGCCTTCCCTGGGGCTCCAGTGCCTGCTTCGTGATTTCCGAGAAGTTCGCAGCCGCAGCTCGGATCCCTTCGTAAGCATTTCTGGCTCTTTTCAGCGCTGGTTCGAGTTGGTCGATGCGGTTTTGCTTGCTCAGTGCTTCCTTCCGGACCGCTTGGGCTGCGAGGAGCAGGAGGTCGGGAGCAGCTTCCCCGATCTTCACCAGGTCTTTCTCCGTGAATTGTGCAGCCAAGGAGTTGATGCATCGCCCGCACTGCTGCGTTAGACCGTGCCGGTGAGCCTGCAGGAGCCGGTCCATACTTACAGGCAGATCGAGCAGGCGCTTCTCACATCCCTTCTTAATGAAACCAACCTGGTAGTAGTCGCTGATTGCCAGCAGTGCATCCACATTGCTCTCGGTCACTGCATCAAGGTTCCACTCTCCTGGGAGCAGCAATCCGTAAAAGAGCTCAAAATCCTCCGGCATCGCCACCTCGACTCTGACGGATTTTTGTTGTGCCTCCTTCATGCCAGCTCTCAGCATTCCACGGAACACTGGTGAGGCCAAGCAAAGCAATGCGGAACATACGATTTTCCTTGTGCCATTGAAATCGAACTCCAACACCAGATCATTCTCAGGGTCGATGCTGGCCGCTTCCATTGCCTTCCACTCAAGTGTGAACCGAAGCTAAATGCAATCCTCATCTCAAGATGCGAGCAGCACTTTATCGACACCCGTACCACCATTATTCCCCCCCAATGTTCTCGTAACTCACTGAACTGCAGGCCTCACCGTTGTTCCCCATCTCTTTGCCGACTTCAACCATGATGTGCAGCGAAGCGTGGTCGTAGCTTGACGCTCGGGGGCTTTAGGGTTTAGGGTTTAGGGATCTGTTCTTGGTCTCGTGGGGTTGGTAGTAAGTCTGTGCAGCTCTAGGAACTACGTCTGAGACATAGGGACAAGCACGACATCGAGGCAACAGGCTGCGTGGCAGTGTGGCTGACAGCAACCGAAGAAGGGCTTTGCCGAGTTGGGGCCCACCTGAAACCAAGGAACTTAGCCTTCGAGCAACTTTGAGCAGCAGGACATCAATGCTGAGCCTGAAATCGAGAAGATGATGCCTGTGAACTGACTCAACCCTACTTAGAGGATCATGGGACTTAGTAAGTAGGGTTATAACTAGGGTAACTATACTTATAAGCCCAATTAAGGGACTTAAAACCTTACTTACTAAGTTCCATGATCCTCCAAGTAAGCTTGATTCATAAGGTTTCTCCGCTGCCAGACAGGTCTGATGGGCCAAGCATTTGCGGCATCTGCCCGGCAGGCGAGACGGGGATCTTGAAGACAAGGATTTCCCAGCTTGACTGACGGTAGATGCTTCGTGCTGAGTAGAAGGAACGGGTCGAAACAGGGAATATGTCAATCGGTGTCTGCGGCTTCCAGCACATGTTACAGTACTTAAGGCAATGTCTTGAGAACAGGGAAACCCCTGCTTGTTGCCACCGATGCGTCAAGATCTCAGGGGGCAAAAGAAACGAAGAGGCAGTTGATCAAGTAAAACCGTAGACCCTAAACTCTCGAATCTCGAATGCCATCTGCTCCATGCTTTCGGCACTGACAAGATGGCTGCAAGCGTCCAACACCCCAAGAAGGGAAAGGAGACTGAGGGTTCAAGGGTAGCTGCCAGCAAATGCAAAAGGATCAAGGCCGAAAGGCCTTATCGCACCCCCAACCCTAGCCCTTACTCGGAAACTCCGAGCCCTTGTAAACTCCAAAACCTCTATGATCAACAGCAACAGGGTAGTTCCCTCAATTGGCGCCCCTTTGAAGGTTCCAAATATAGTACGGCACCCTTATAAAAAGGACCCCCAAAAAGGGACCCTGATTTAGAGAACTACCCATAAAAACCATAATCCCTAAACCCTAATCCCTCTAAGCCCTAATCCCTAATCCCAAAAGCTCTGTGATCCCTAAACCCTAAACCCTAAACCCTAAACCGGATCAACAGCAGCAAGAAAGCAAGAAACGGGGCACCGGAGGCTTTGGCCTCGGCTCTGAGCCCTCGAGGGCTACACGGGTTCCAGACACATCGATGCAGGGCTTCCCCTTCTTTGCTACGGCAAGAACAGCAAAGTGTATTCTTGCACATGTACACATACATACATATATATATATATGTATATGTATATGTATATGTATATGTATATGTATGTATGTATGTACACATACAGAAACATGTATATACACACTTATTTGTTTCCAGACATACACATACATATCCATCTATAGAGAACCATACATACATACGCGCATACTTAAAGAACCGACATGTACAAACACATCGTAACAAACACACACACACACAATACATAAATTGCGTTGGGACTTGCAGTTCTGTAAGCTTAGTGCCGATGGTTTCTGAACAAGCTCTCGACTCGCAACACCCCTTCGGAAACTGCAGGGCATTGCTCCTGTGCTTCGGGTGCCTGGTTCCCGGGAGGGAGAATACCGAGCTTGGATGCTGCATCAAGCCCCTCAAAACGCTGTACACGTGCTTCGAGTTTTGCTCAAGCGCCTCCCAAAACCCTACGAACGCCGAGACCTGAAACCTAAACTCCAATCCCTCATCCGCAGCAATGCGAATGATCGCATCAGGGCGCAGGGCTTTCTCGCACCAGTCGCCTCGGCAGGCTGAGCGGAGGTCATTTCAAGAGCTACTGTTGGCCGAGGATGCACTTAGGCAGGTACCTCAAGAACTCGATACTCTTCTCGTAGATGCATGATGGATGCTCTCTGTGCGATCGTGCCGAGTAGCTGCAAGCCCTCTGCATCAAAGGTAATCATGGCAACCAGTCGGCTGCTCCAGCGTGGTAGCTTCATGAAGTTTAACATCACGGTGTCCTCAGCCAGGTTGTAAGCAATGCTAACACAGATGTCGTCACGTTATCCCGTTTGCGTCGAGGTATTGCACAGTGCCGCGGCAAGGACACCTCGTGCCTTCATGAACCTACCTCGGTGTCAGCGTGCCTTTGATGGATGTTGTCGCCGTGATGGCAGAAGCGAGTATACGATAGGGAGAACAGTGGTGGTTATCTTGGCGACTGCTATGGTGTCATTGTCGCTTATTCCCTAGAAGACTAAGGTTTGGCTTGGCTGTTGCTATCACCATCATCAGCAACACGAACCACCAGTGCTGCCAGACATTTGCGGAACCATGACCCAATTTCAGTCTATGCCCAGCATCCATATAAGCTTGAGCGCGTCGGTGGCTCCCTCAGCAAGGAAGCATTGTGAAACGCAAGTTGGTGTAAGACCTAAATTACAGCAACTTCTCCTCCAGACTTCTTACGCCAGATCTTTCATGCACCGCACTTCGCATGTGTTTCACAAATCGAAAAGGCCAAGGCTTTGCAGCCAAGTTATTATGCGTTGCTTTGCCGTCCTGCTGCAGTCTTTCTAGCTGCCAGTGTAATGATAAGTCAGAAACAAATGGTTTATGTTGCGCAGCTGGCGCACCCTTTGTTCAAAAGTCGGTCGACAGTACGAGCTGCAAGAATCAAAGCACATGCGGCTCAAGCGACGGCCAAGGAGGAATGAAAGGAGGCTGTGCATCTCTTCTTCTTTGATGTTCATTGCCGAGGCTACCTGCGGACGGGCCGGAGCTCCGTGCTTTGCTCATAGTCCATAACTGCGGCTGGTTGCTGCCCCTTCACTCTTCCTCAACTCAGCAAAAGCTAAAAAGAGTTCTTCCAATCAATTTCAACATAGACCCTAACCTACTGCCTTGCACCATCCTGAAGCTTTCCTCGCTGGTTGGAACGACAAGCTCATATTCACAAGACAACGATCCGAAGCCTGATTCGTAAACTCCACCAGCTCCTGAAATGAATCAGGTTTGGCTACGGCTTGCTGGATAGGTAGAGGCGGATCCCGGCTTATCGCGCAGTGTCTTCAGCATTATGCTTTGGGAGGCGTTGCGAAGCCTTTCTATGTGCCATGTTGCCGAATGACTGTCATAATCGCACTACGAGCACCTTGGCCTCTTACGGCTCTTAGTGTGGAGCAGGGCATAGCCACATCCCTGAAGACACTGTGCTCACTGAAGCCAGCAGACCAATATACTAAGTTACTAAGTAGTTCTTGCAATCACAACAATAGTCATATTCGTTGGTAGCAAAAGCAATAACCATCCGCATGGGAGCACGAATAAGAACCTTCAGGCTTCGTGGCGTTAAACCACTTTCGTGGGCTCCATGAGGTTTGTCGCCATGAGGGCGGAGAGGCCACCAGAGACCAGTGCCGTCCAGGCTGTCTGAAACAGGCCAACGACCTCGAATAACTCCCAACTCTCGAACAAAAGGGTTTACGGTGCTCCAAAACCCTCAACTAAAGGCATTCTGCTTGGGCTTTAGGAATGCTTATCTATTTACAGGACCTACAGGGCTGGGGGTTGAGGAAGCAGGTCATCAACAAGATTACAGCTACCCTCAAACGGACTGTAATGCTTGCAGGCATACTTATAACCTTCGCACGAAGTTCCGGGATCCTCATGTAAAGGTCTGAATGCAAAGCCGCCGAAACGTGAAACTGTTTGGAAAGGCTCTCAACGGCCACAAGCCTCACTTCCCCAATAAATTATAAGAACCCAAAAAGTCTAAAGGTTGGTTTAGTGGGGAACTAAGACCCTAAACGCTAAACCCTAAACCCTAAGAAGCACATTTTGGCACAAGCTGCGCCCTCCGACTCCATGGCTTTGATATCCAGGCCGTGCAGCTTCGTCAAGAGCACGGAGAGGCCAAAGCCGGCAAGCACCAGGGAGTAAAGGATGCCGATAATCACCAAGTAGCCTGTTCAGGCTAGAGAATGATATGTGCGACTGTAGGGAGGTGTAACTTCTGGTGTGCAGGCGCAGTTTCAGCATGAGGAGGGTGCTGAGTCTTTGTTCGTACTGACACTGCGAAACATGTGTAGGTAGGGGACAGCAGCTTTTTTCGACTAGTGCTGCAGCTCTCGGGTGTCGCTCCATGGCCGGAGAGATGCACGGCAAAATTCCAGCTTTCGAGTGATGTGCATATGGAAGGTGGCCGAAACTACCTGTGTCCAGAATCGAAGAGGAAGTGCATTACCAATGGTCCCTCCTTCAACCAGATCTTTAGAACAACCCTCATGTGCTTGGGGCGGGATTCCTTGGCGGCTGGCCGAGTGACAGCCCTTGAGAATGTTGGGGTCAGCGGCAATTTTGCGGAGCGCCCCGAAGATGTGCCGCTTGTTGAGAAACCTGCGCCGCGCGCAGTCTTTCTGCAGACCAAGACCGACGCCCACAAGAACGAAGAACGGGTGTGAGGGCAAACCCCTTCTCAACTCGAACGGAATATCTGGTGGGCGATGGCTAAGCCAAGCCCGAACATCAAGCGAGCAAGCAGAGTGGTGACGATGGTTCGTGTAGGAGTTTGTTGATGATGACGACAGGAGGCGCTAGGGGCTGCGGTCAGGCGATGCATGCCACCTGAGTTTGTGACAAGGTGGCTGCTTTTTTTATCGATGCTACTGTGGTCTGCTCGGTCAGGTGGTGGAGCAGCTGCACGAAGCTGAGATCTCCGTACGATCAATTCTCCAATCTCTCTCGGTTTAGGGTTTAGGGTTTAGGGCCCTAAACCCTAAACCCTGCTCAGCATAATGGCCTGACGAATCGCATGGCAGAGAAGCCTGCCAATGTCTTGACCTCCAGGGTGCCGGGCTTCAACTCAAACTCACCTGCTGCTCCATGAGATCAGGTGGCACCGATGTACCACATGCCCTGGTGGTCGTGACCCGCTTATATCTCACACCTTACCCTCTCCCACAGGTACAAAGCTCCATGCCGCAAAGCGTCTGTGCCCACACACTGGGAAGGGCTCGCGTGAATTCCACAGATACAGCTCAAAATCTCACAGGGCAGCTTGCCTTGGTGGAGAGAGATTTAGGCCCGGGATGCCTTGCCTTCAAAGATTTAGGGTTCGGGTTTAGGGGTTTCGACTCACACACTCGCAAATGCAGGCATGGCGATAAGTGTCCGTTTAGGGGTTTAGGGGCAAGCAGGCCATGTTGGCCGTCTGCAGGATGCCCGTAAACCCGGTTCCTTTGCAGCTACAGCTTGTGCCAAAGTCTTCGGAACGGAAACCGGCCGCGAAACCCGATGCTACGCCAAGTGACAGAGGTGTTCCAAGAAAATCCCGGCCTCCAGAACTCGAGCAGCACTCCTGAGGGCGATTCCATGTAGTTGGGCAAAGTAACAACCGATGAAGTTCAGGCTACTCGAGAAGGGAATGCCTACGCCATCAGGAAGGCCATCTGCGATCTCCCTAAACATGTCCTTCCTCATGCCCAAATTGAAGCCAAGGAGCCCCACAGTCAGTGGTAAATCCTCCAAACAAACTACCATCATGTTCCGCCACAGGGCCTGGCAGGATCTGAACTTGACCTCTTTCTGCAATATCGTGAGGAAATGCACTTTGTACAGCAGCTTCCCAACCGAGTACCGGTTGAACTAAGATTACGACGCGCCTTGATGTTCACGGCCAGCCGGAGAGCGAACAGCAGAAAACTCAGATACTTCATCTCTGTGACATGGTCCCGGATGAGCGCACGCTCCTTGGGGATGAGGAAGTCTACAACTTCAGCATAACTTCAATTACAAGTATGGCATAGATCTTGGGCAAAGATGCATTCGGTAGATACGAAGTGACATCCCGTAGTTCCCAGAAAGCCTTTGCCCACCCTGCCCTCAGTATCCCTAAACACCCCTAAACATCCCCCTAAACCCCAAACCCTAAACCCCCAAATCCCTAAACCCCAGCTCTTCAACATCAATCCTCAGCCCCATGCGTCGTAGGTGACACCCAGATCTTCCTTCAAGCGCACGGCGCCCTGCAATGTGTCCTGGCAAGGCTACAGATGTTATTGGTATGTAATGGCTGTTGTTTTCTTCTGGTTCGCAACAGGATTGCCAGTATGAGTAGTACCACAAAGCCAACTGTCAGCACAACCACCTCATTGATGCTTGCATTGCTGTTGTTGTTGCTATTGCTGCTGCTGCCACAGTAGTCGTTCTTTGCACTGGATATCGACACCCAGGAGGCTTTCTGCTCATGTCTGTTCAGAACGCCGGCGACGACGACTGCTGTTGCTGCTGCTGTTGGTTTCGGTGCTGCTACCACTATCACGACCACTACCGCTACCACCGCTATGACGACGACCATCACTACTACCACTACGCTGCCGCCGCAAATACTACTGCTAGTACTGCTAGGTCCGCTGAGTGAAGCAGAGCATCACGTGCTCGTCTCTGCTCTTCATCCCGCCTCGCCTGGGGCAGCAAAGTCTCTTGGCCGTTGCTGCGGCAACTGTCCACACCTGCTTGCGGGCTTCAGGATCAGGGTTTAGGACTTAGGGCCTCTCTTGTCAGAAGCAAAGCGTGCGCTCTCCACAAGCTTCAGCGGACCAGCTGCATCAAAACTCCTTGAAGCCGTAACGATTGGCTTCAGCGCCTGCAGCAAGACCCACTCCGCAGCAAAGCATCATGAACCTGAGCGTAAAACTCTTCAGTTTGAGCATGTTTTCTGCTTGAGCCTTTGGGGCCCAGAAAAGGGATTGCCATCTGCCAGCCTTTGACGAGCAGGATGTCGGACCGTGACTGAAACTGCCAGACACTACAATGCAACATAATACAACATACTGTACTAAACTATACTATAACATAATATAATAATATAGTATAATAGCATCTAATAGCCATACTTTTGCTGGAAGGAAGGATCCGACTAGAGCACGAAGCGACGGCCCCTTGTTGGCATCAGTGCAGCACCCTCAGGGTTCAGGTTTCTTGAATCGTGAACATGGCCAAGCCGCAGCAGCTGGACACTGAGCTCATCGGGCGTAATCCTGCGGCAGCCAGGTAATTCTCTCGTCATGTCCTCAAAGACTCTGCGGAAAAAATGAGTTTGACGCGTCACAACTCGAGTCACGCGGACGCGACTGCGTGCGTGTACGTGTCAAGAAGGCGGTGCTCTCCTCCACAGGACTTCAGCTTCGGCTGCGACATGCAAGGCTTTAGTAGACAAGTTTAGGGTGAGCGCATGCCGTGTACTCCCTTGCCGAATCCCTGACTGCGAGAAAATCCCTGCTTTGAAACACGTCTGAAGTGTCTTTTGAAGAGCCCGTGCATCTGGGAGTTTCAGAATAGCAAGCACCCGAACCTGAACATAAACCACAACTAGGAGCATTCTCATTAAGAGCCCATGACTTTCAGACACCCTTTCTACAAGTATCAGACAAGAACAGAATGCACCCCGTAAGTCCCCGAATGAATGGCCGGCCAAGGTGCCAGAAGAGGGCGGCGAATGGCGCGGCCAGCCCCACGAGTGACAGGAGGTACACTGCCTAGGGGGTGCGGAGCGCGGACGCAACAAGCCCGCCCTAGGGCTTTGGGATTGGGGAAGCTGGCTGATCCATTTGCATTGATGCGTCACGGGCAACCCTGAAACCACGGAGAAGGGACCGATCCCCTCATTCCAGACCCTAAGGCATTACACAGTTCCAGTCTCCGAGACATGGTGAAGAGAACCTTAACGTTATATCTTCCCGAAGAAATTTTCAAGTGCTGGCGAGATGCTGTATCCCGCATGACCGGTACGGGGACGACTAGAGCCAAAACCCTACACTCGAATTCGCGTCTGTGCAGGCATCCTCCCGCCTTGGCCGTAGCTTCAGAGCATGGCTATAGAACTCAATTTCGGTGGGGCTAATTCTGTCCAGCGGGGACCAGAGCGAGACAGAGCGAGGATATGCTCCCTGAGTCCTTTGGCATCCATCAGAGAAAGATGTTCTGGAGGTATCGTCGTTGGGTTTAGCAGGTCTTCTGACGCCTCAAGCCCCATCGTGGGCTAGCAAGGGTCGCCTGCAAGTTCACCTAACTCACATCGCATCGCAGAAAGTGGGAACTGGTGGGCCGGTGTTGAAAGCTAATGGGGACCTCGCATCAGCCCATCGAACTCGATCGTCTCTCTTTTGTCGCAGCGTTGGTGCGCCTTGCGGAAAATCGCCGGCGCAGAAGCAGCTAAGAATCGCCACTGCAGGCTTCTGTGCTTTTGTGATGATGTTGCGGCTTTCTTTTGGACAAGTGTCCGCTCAGCTGTATGTTGCTGTGCACTTGTGCTGTTGTGCTTTTTGATGATGTTGCGGCTATCTTCCGGACAAGTGTCTGCTCAGCCTCGCTAATTCCAACCGTCTTGGTAGCTGCTCTTCGACCTCTCTGGCAGCCGATGTCCGGGCCATAAGTCTGACTGCAAGCATCTCCACACTGCGGATCATTCCTCACGCTCCTCCTCCTTGACGTCTTCGTCCTTTAGCCTTGAGGGCTCTTGCAATGCCAGTGCATGCAGTTCTCTTAAGCCCGGGCCAAGTCCCCCCAGAACGCACTACAAGACTTGAGCACACGCAAAGACACGGCACTCTTTCGCAAATGAAACACCCGTAGATGTCAAAGCTCTGCTGCTCTACAAAATAATCCCCGCAGCCAGGAAATGTGGATATCTACAGAATCCAAGCCCCTTCTTGCACCGACCAATCCGGAAGCAAAGCACAGGGCAAAGAAATCTCACTCAAGGTACAAGGATGTGTGGTTCTACTAGCGAACCCCCTGGTCCGGTCCTTCAAGTCGAACCCCGGAAAACCCGAAAAACCAATCAATTCACCCCGTGTGGATCCTATAACCCTCGTAAAGTTGAACAACCCTCTGGACAAGCCGAAACATCATCAAAAAGCACAGCTTGTGAGGCCTTCTCAAAACCGATAACCCAACTATCAACAGCGTCACCCGATGCTTCAAGTAGCCCAGGGGGTCGCCATCGGCGCTTGTCCATAGAGACGATGTGCCAGTCGGAGGCCTCAGTGCCGGTAACTCAGTAGGGTTGAGGTTCACGGCTTTATGTTCGAGGGTACGGATGTTTGGGGTTGAGGGTTCGGGTATAGGGACGAGGTTTAAGGATTCCCCGCCGCCGGAGCAACTGCACTTAGGAGGAAGCTTACATGGAGGGCCTATCTTTCCAAGGACGAAGCATCTAAACTCTGAGTGTGCTGGCTGCTCTCGAAATACTGTAAGTTACAACAGTGACAAGGCTCTTAAACGGGTCCTTCATTTTCCCTACAATCCTTTTTCTGCCTCATTGCCGTCTTCGTCAGGAAGATGGCGCTTGAAGGTCCACCTCGGTTGGACCGGAGGCTGCATAAATGCGCAACTTATACCAAGGGGTGCCGGAACCGTTCGAGGATAGCATTTGGGCGCTGGATCCATGTGCTCCGGCTGCCAAGTCGCTTGTGCAGCCTCCGCACCTGCATTCCCCAAAGAACCCAATACCCCTTAATTAAGGAATATCCCTTAAATTATAGGGGCCTTAATATTATGATTTAAGGTATATTCCTTAATTAAGGGGTATTGGGCTCTCTGGGTCCAACTCTCCGTGAGATCGCTTCCGGACAGTCTTCAGTACTCCGCGAAGCCCGAGCCCTCGACTCCAAACCCGACGCATGTTAAACCGCAAGCTGAGACTTGCTGATGTGGGTAGTTCTCTAAATAAGGGTCCCTTTTTTTAGGTCCCCAATATAGTACGGCACCCTTATTAAGAAGGACCCTAAAGGGACCCTAATTTTGAAAACTACCCATATCACAAGAAGGGACGTTTAGGTTGCCGAGGGTTTGGTCATCGCAGGGAAGCACATAGGGAGACAAGCTTCGGCAAGGTCATCGTCGCAAAAATCCAAACCTCATTGCCCCGCGGTGGCCTCCCACCAAACAGTCGGATCCTGCCCAGGATGCACCAGGGTCGGACAAGGAAGCTGCGTTTCAGGACATTTCAGGACTGCACCTGCTGAGCTTGCGTGTGTAACTTGAGAAGCAAATTAGACCCTAAACCCTAAACCCTTTTTTGCAACCGGACCCTTTTTGCATCCAGGACTCTTGCAAGCAGCCTGCAACCGGACCCTAAACCCCAAAACCCACGCCGCCTTCTGCAAAGTGTACTTCCTTGGATTGCGGCAAAAGGTGTCCGAAACGATGCATGGCCTATGGACCAAGGGCTCCTTGCCGTGATCTCCAAGCATCCCCAACAAGATAATGTAGGGGCCTCAATACTTAGAATAGGGTTAGAGCGTATATTCACTCTAACCATAACCATCATATGTAGGGAATTATTAAGGCCCCTACATTATCTTCCTGCCGACGTTTAAGGAATATTCCTTTAATAAGGAATGTTGGAGTCTCTGGGGAAGCTGCCCGTGCAGTTCAAGCTGAACTCGAGGCAAAGCGGCTCGGTGACACGGAGCAATGGCGTCACCGACACAGCCTCACCACCGAGCTCCTCGGCCTCTTCACATTTAGTCTTCTGCTACAGGGAGATCAATGGGTCAGCATGTTCCACCGTAGATGCGGATCTATGCTTACTCTAGCGGAGGGCTCAGGGTGCGGGACGCCAGCTGAAATCTTTTTGGGGCAACTTCGCGCAATCTGCATTCTCTTCTCATGCTGGCCAAAAGCGAAAGTCTCAGTCGATCCTGAGACCTATTCCGTCCTTTGCAATACTGAACGGATATGAAATCTGGAGCCGACTGGGCAGGTGTGGGAAGCCCAGCTCAGATTCTGCGAACGCGGAGCATGAGATAGAAATAACAAGGATAATCACATCTCATCGACCGGCGAAACAAAACGAAGCGGCTTAGCACCTGGACCATTGCATGGAATATGCCAAGCTGGAACACTTCCCTCAGCTCGTAGTCCTCAGATTCACACAGAAGCCGCTGCAGGTCAGGCCATGTAAACAAACAAATCATCGCTGTGTAGTACGAGGCATGCAGTTCACACACGCATTGGCTTCCGCAAAAGCTTCAATGGAGCGCTTCCAGTGCTTTTTGCCCAGGGTGCAATACTGAGCTGAAGTATGCTGACGTGATGCTAGGCCTTTCGAGAGCTTGCCGTGGGTCTGGCGCAACTCCTCTTTGGACTCTTTAGAGCTTTAAGTGTACTTCCGGGGTTGCATGCAGCATACAACAACCTGCTGCACATGAGAATTCGGGGCACGCATGGGCACGATCATGTTTTGCTGGACATGGAGGTTTCGGGGCAGGCAAGGGCACGCTCCCGTTTTGCACATGGAAGCCGCATTGCGTTTTTATGGGCGAACGTGGAAAGGAAAGCCTCCACGAGGCCGTCTGCCATCACGCGGCGCAAAGAAACAAAGTCCCCCTGATCCAGGAGACCTGGGCTTGCCGCTACTTGAACTAAACTTCATGCAGGCATTGTAGAACGTCCCACTTACAGTGACAACCAAGAGCTACTGCCACCACTGCTGGTTCTGCTACACTTCTGAAGCAGTAGTAGGAAGAGGATTAGGAGCTAGTATCAATACTAGTACCCTAGTAGTAGTACTCGAAGTAGTACCGCAAGTAGTAGTCGCCGCAGCAACAGCAGCAGTAATAGTCAAGTCCCCACTTTGCACGCCAATGGCAGCATTGCGAGTAACGAGACGGCAACTACTAAAGCGAGTTTGAAGTGATAGCTTCAGGATGTCAGGGACAGCACACCCCAACCCGTCGTAGTAGCTGTAGTAGTGGTGGTGGTAGTAGTAGTATTAATAGAAGTAGTAGTAGTAGTAGTAGTAGTAGTAGTAGTAATAGTAGTAGTAGTAGTAGTAGTAGTAGCAGCAGTGGCAATGGCAGTAGTGGCAGTGGCAGTGGCAGTGGCAGTGGCAGTGGCAGTGGCAGTAGCAGTAGCAGTAGCAGCAGTAGTAGTAGTAGTAGTAGTAGTAGTAGTGGTAGTAGTGGTAGTCGTGGTAGTAGTAGTAGTAGTAGTAGTAGTAGTAGTAGTAGTGGTAGTAGTAGAGTAGTGGTAGTAGTAGTAGTAGTAGTAGTAGTAGTAGTAGTCGTCGTAGTGTTGACATATAACA